ACAATAGTCCTGAAAAGTTAATACTATTATCCTTATTTTTATGCAGGAGGATGCAAAAACTAGAGAACTTAATAAGCTTAATTTATCTCAGTTCAAAAAACTATAAATGACAGTCAAAATGTTAGAATGCAGAGTCAGGTCTCATTCATTTGTTCATTCCTTGATTTATTCATATCGATCCTAGATAATAAAAGCCTGATATGCAAACTGACCGAACAGCAGAATGACCCGTGGAACGTCTGGTTGCTGTGACATGCACTGACCACCAGGGGACAGATGCTCAATGTAGAAGCTGCCCCCAGCCCTCAGGCCCCAGGCCAGCCAAGGTAGGTGCTAGTGAGGGCCCCCTAATCACCCCGCTGGTTGCCCCGCAGAGGGAGGCAACAGGCGTTGGCAGTGGGGGCAAGGCCGGTGAGTGGGCGGCACCAGGCTGGCCAAGGCGGGTACCAGCGGGCCCCCCCTCGATTGCTCCATCGGTCACCCTGCAGATTGGCCCTGATCACCGGCCAGGCCTAGGGACCCTACCCATGCATGAATTTCGTGCATTGGGCCTCTAGTATATATATAAAAGCCTAAGCAATGTCTGACCATTCGACCATCCGAACAGTAGCTATGATGTTAAATGACCACCAGGGGGCAGACGCTCTGACCAGTAGCTATGACGCACAGTAGGCGGGAGACACTCAACACAGGAGCTGCTGAGCTGCAGTGACTTGGCAGCTGCGTTTCTTGGGTGACACACCTGGAACCAGAGAGGAGGGAGCCCAATTCTGGGGTGCATCACCTGAGAACTGCCCTCTCACAATCTGGGACCCTTCGGGGGATGTCAGAGAGCAGGTTTCGGCCCGATCCCTGCAGGCCAGGCTGCACCAGGCCTCCAGTGTGTGTGTGTGTGTGTGTGTGTGTGTGTGTGTGTACACAAACATACATAATTATGAGGATTGCTAACTAGTTCTGGCATATGAAAATATAGAGAATAACATTTAAAGTATACATACATTCACCTTCCAGCTTAAAAAATTAAATACTTCAGATACAGGGTGCTTCCTGTGCACTTACTTCCAATTCCATTTTGTTCTTTTCCATCCAGGGATTACCATTATCTTGAATCTGAAGTTTATTGTTTCCATGAAAGTTATTGTTCTTTTGCTACATATGTTTATATCCGTAAACTATACTGAACCAGTCACTGTCCAGTCAGGAAAATAGAAACCACATTATATGTTTTGCACAAAGGGAGATTTCACACTGAGAATTGGTTACCAAGGTATAAGAAGGGGCTGGAGGAGCAAAGAGGATAAAGGGGGCTCTCTTCAGTTTTATCCATTGACACCTCCAGATCAAGTCTCAACCTTTGCTTGTGTTCAGAAACTTGAATGGTACAGACTGCCCCACTGGACTCCCTTGACCTCTGATTTCCGGTTAGTTTTGGGCAGTGGGGAGTGGTGGCAGGAGGTCGAGGGGAAAGGGGAATGAGATCAGATATCTGCTCACTTGTTTTCTTCCCTGTTGGATTGCTACAGGCTGGCGCTGCAGCTGCTACAATAGCTACTGACACTACCGAAAGGCTCACTTCCAGTCACTTCCTACCATTGCTGCTGCCACCATTGCGGGAAGCACCACCAGGAACAGAAAGGGAAATGGCTTCTCCTTTCTTCTGTCTTCTAATCTCTTTGTCAGTGCCAGGCACTGGCAAATCCAAGGGAGCTGGTGGCATGTAGTTCACAGGTTTCCAGCCCCTTGCCATACAGAAGAGGGCACGGGAAGGCTGGAGTGGGGTTGAGAGCCGACAGCGCGTGACCTGGTCAAGTGCATAGTATTGTCTGCATTTTTAAAACTCTATATAGGTAGCGTCATACTACTAGTATACCTATCCTCGCTTTTTAGCTTAACTTTATACTTTTGAGATCTACCCATGTTGATACATATGGCTCCAGTTTATTCATTTTAGCTGCAATATTGTATTCAATAATGGCATTTCTACAAGGGAACTAATGAAGATAGAAACATGGATGCTAGCACAGCTGGTGTGGCTCAGTGGTTTAGCACTGACCTATGAACCAGGAGGTCACGGTTCGATTCCTGGTAGGGGCACATGCCTGGGTTACGGGCACAGTCCCCAGGAAGGGATGTGCAGGAGGCAGCTAATCAATGATTCTCTCTCATCATTGATGTTTCTCTCTCTCTCTCCCTCTCTGAAATCAATAAAAATATATTTAGAGAGAAAGAGAGAGATAAACATCAGGCACCAGGAAAACTGCAGCAATGGTTATCACAGCTTTTAGTAGTAAGTTCCCAAGAAGGTGAGCCTTTTAGCTCACCCTCTACCAACTGTCAAAAAGGGATAACACAGACTTGGATGAGGCACAAACAGGAGCAACATAAGTAACTTACTGATCCTGAGTAAGAAAAGGCTTTGAAACTATTCATTACTCATACTGAATTCAAATCAACAAACATTACTACCAAGTTCCCAACACTCAACCAGGAACTAGGGAGCTAAAGAAGAAAGAAAACATAACCCTCACCCTGAATGATGGACCATAAACGGTAGGAGACAGTCCTATGACAATGATGATGTTACCAGAAATGATGGAACTATTTCCGGAACTCAGAGTAAGGAGAGAATCATTCTGAATGTAGGGATACATAAGTAACATTTGAGATAAGTGTTAAGGCTGGTTAGAATTTGTCTAAGTAGAAAAATGTAGAAAAGAACATTCCAGATGTATGGATTAGCATAAATAAAGGCAAGAAGGTAAGAAAGGAAATGGTCTGTATGGGGAATAGCAGGTAGTCACATGTGTGGTGGAAATGTGACACAGCTCCAAGGACCGGATTTGCTCATGAACGACCAAAGGCCCCACAGCCTGGGTTCTGCAAACCATGGCTTGTGTCAGATGCCTAGGAAACAAAAATTTTGACCACTGGACATAGCAACAGCCTATTACAAAACCATAAAGAGGACTACAATTGCCAAGCAGAACAAAACATTACCATCAAATCTAGTTCTTATATTTATTCCTGTGCATTAAATTAACTTGTTGAATTAGCTGCCAGGCACTCTGCTAAGTATTAAGAACACAGAGCTGCCGAAACCGGTTTGGCTGAGTGGATAGAGCATCGGCCTGCGGACTCAAGGGTCCCAGGTTCCACTCCGGTCAGGGGCATGTACCTTGGTTGCGGGCACATCCCCAGTGGGGGGCGTGCAGGAGGCGGCTGATTGATGTTTCTCTCTCATCGATGTTTCCAACTCTCTATCTCTCTCCCTTCCTCTCTGTGAAAAATCAATAAAATATATTAAAAAAAAAGAAGAAGAACACCGAGCCGATTCCACTGCAGGCCCTGTTCTTCAGGAGCCTAATAACTGGGTAGTTCATGTGTGTATTTATGTATTTAGTAGGCGTCCTAAAAACCTGGTATTGGTTTATTGACAGCAAAGAAAGTTAAATAGACTTTTATGTTTAAATTTAAATAATATTGTATTGTTACAGAAGCAGCCCATGGGCATTATAGAACATAGAACCAGGCAAAACTAAAAATAAGTTACCTCTGTCACCACCCAGAGATCACCACTGCAACCCTTGGTTCATATCCTTCCACATTTTAATATACATACATATGTATTTATATGTATTTAGTTTTAAAAAATGCTTTCATATTGTTTAGAGACCTTCTGTCTTGTAACCTGTTTTTTTTTCCAGTCAATACTTTCCACTTTTCCATGTCAATACATGCCTTTTTTCCCCTACTACTCAGTACATATTCAAATTTTCCCAATTATGCCAAAAATGTCCTCTACACCTAATTTCTCCAAATTAGTCCGATTCAAGATTTTACTTTGCATCTCCTGGTTATGTCCTTCATATGTCTTCTTCTTCTTTTTTTTAAATCTTCACCCGAGATTTCTTTTTCTTGATTTTTAGAGAAAAAGGGAAGGGGGAGGGGAGAGGGAAACATCCATCAGTTGCCTCCCGTATGCACCCTGACCAACCCAGGATTAAACCTAGGTATGTGCCCTGACCGGGAATTGAACCCACAACCTTTTGGTGTACAGGAGGCCCCAACCAACCGCCACCCAGCCAAGGCGCCTTCACATATCCTTTAACCAGTATAGTCCCTTTCTTATTATTCTAACTTGGTGAAAAGCACTGGCCAGCTGTTCTGAAGAACAGTCCACCTCCTCTATTTGCCTGGTCGCTTCCTTGTGATGTTATTTTACTCGTGGCTCTATCCTCGCTATTCCTGCAAACTAGAAGCGCTCACTGAAGATGTGATGGAAGCAAGTCAAACATTTTGGGCTGGAATATGTACTTCACATTGCTTCTCATCAGAACACACCACTGGTGATGGTCCAACTGACCCCTGGGCAACGGGGGTTTTCACATGGAGTAGGACGTGTGAATAGGACTTGGCGACGGGAAGGAAGAGGAATGGGGAACCCAGCCGCAGGCGGTGGAACGCAAAGGACATCCAACTGTGCTGATCTTCTTCTCACCATTAGGGAAAGCAAACAAACAAAGAAAAAAAGTACTTGGGGGGCCCTCCATGACTCGGGGACAGCCGTTTGACAAATGGCACGTTTCCCTTTATACAACTGAGCTGAGCTGAGCCGACGCGGTATTCGGTCTACGGAGAGCCACTGTCACCCTCCTCCGCCCAACCTGGGACAAGACAGGGAATGGCGGGGAAGCAGTGCGGTGCCTTCGCCCCTATTCTTCCCAGCAGCCTTCTTCCTGTCTCCGGCCACAAAAGGAGCTGCTGCCCAGCAGCCGTACTTGCGGGCAAGAATCTTCGGGAGATGAATCTTGTCCCAGCCGGGGTCCCGTAGCCAGCTTCCCAGGCAGGACGAGCGGCACGTCCGCTCTCTCGCGAGCACGAGGAGGCCCCGCCCCGCTCTCCTTCTCCGGCCCGCCCACCCCACCTGCGCACGCTCAGGCAGTTCCGGGAGCTCGCGGCAGGTGGCGCTGTCGGCGGCGGCGCTGCGGCCCCGGCTGCCGCGGAGACGATCTCCCGGCGGGCAGTGCGGCCCGGCTCTCCGGCGGCAGCGAGTGCCACGTCCCAAGTGTTCAGCGGAGGAGCCGAGAGGGCGGTTGGCGGGGGGCGGGGAACAGCGCGGAGCCCGACCCGGCCACGGATCGCCCGCCGCCATGGGCGCTTCGCAGAGCGTCGAGATTCCCGGCGGTGGCACGGAAGGCTACCACGTCCTGCGGGTAAGAGGTCCGACGGCGGCCCGGGAGCAGCGGGCTGGAGGAGGCGGGCCTTTCCCGAGGCTGGCAGGCCCGACCTCAGGAAGGAGCGACGGCCGCGGCCGCTGCGGTGCCGAGGCCGGGTCTAGAGTGCACTCGCGTCCCGCCGGCCCGCAACCCCCGGGCCCGGGCCCCCCGCCGTGGGAGGGCGGGCTGGAGCGGGGACGGCCTCCGGCGACTTCGCCGGGGAACAAACTTGGCTGCTTTTCCTCCGCACGACATCCCGCGTCCCCTCCCCCTGAATTCTTAGTGTCCAAAGTTAGTTCCTCCGAGGCGTGGGGGCAGACTCTGCCGAGAGGTGATGGCGGAGGTACCTTCGGAGTTTTCCGAGGAGAGCACGCCTGGCACCCGCCGACCGGAGGCGGAGGATGCGACGGCAGGTGCTCGTTCCCCTCGGCGCCGCCTGAATGTCCGCCGGGGCCAGGAAGGCAAACAGAAGGAAATGGCCTAGGTCCTAGGAGCCGGTTTGACGCGCTTCAGTGTATACACTCGGATTTGACTGGTTCTCCCGCTCCGGCGTCGCTCCGGACCTTTCCCGTCCTCCTCTCCCACGTTTCCTGGCCGGGGGAACTTCCGTCCTGTTCCTCCTGGGGCTGCTCGGGGCGTGGTGGAGATGGAGGTGTAGAGAAAGGGGTCAAGGAGAGCGGGGGACGTTGAAGCATCCATGCAAACACAGCCAAGCAGCCTCCGTCCCCGGCTGCAGGGAGCCGCACCGCACAAGGCGTTAGCCAAGCCCCTGCTCCTGCATGGACCGCCGGCGCGAACAGCGCCTGCCGCCTCCCCGCGAGGGGCTGGTCTGCTAGGAGCCTGGAGGGCCGGGCGCCGAGACACCTGCGTGCGGCAGCGCGATCGTCCGCAGCGTGGCCCCGAGTGCAGCGCCGTTTCGGGGTGCGGTAGAGCACCGCCAGATGCTGGCTCCTCGCCGGCAAGAGCCTTTTCCCCCGAACGTGCGACAGTGCACTTCCTGGTGTTCCCAGCATCTCTGTCGGGCCTACACCCGTGTTTTAGGCAGACACCCTCCTCGGGTACCCCCATACCTGTGCGATAGGGCTGTGATCAGTCCCCTTTCTGATCCTCAGATTATCGCCTCCTGTTGTCTCTCCGCTGTACTAAGAATCCCCCCTGAAGGCACACACTGGCTGGCAAACGATTTTCGCAGCACAATAAAGAGAATCTGTTAATAAACCATCTTCCCTTCCCTTCCCTTCAGTTAAGCCAACCCCCAAGTACTGCAGAGCGAGGGGAAATGGAAGAAGTGTCAGGTTCCAGGTGCGAAGTGCAAGTTAGCGGCAGTACTTTTCCGTCCGTTGTCTGGTTTGATTTCGAGTTCTCTGCTCTTGGCGGTGTTATTCAGTATTATCCAATGACTGACTGTACCCATGAGTCCTTGGGGATTCGTGATATTTTTTAATAGGCGCAATCAGGAAAACACAGTGTTAATGAGTTTAAAAAGTCTCCTAGAAAGTTGTAAACATCAAAAGGATTCCAATTCCGTGACTTCTATTAATAACTTCATTTGCCATAAAACAAGTTGAAGTGTATTTTCTTCACATAGTTGCACCTCAGTAAATCGGCACACATACATATTCTATACTTCAGATGTTATTAATCTATAAATCTGATTTTTAAAAGCACTAGGGACAACCTTTGTTTTCTATCTGCATCTGGAGCATAAATGTTGCAAAAGATGAAGAAATTCTTATTTGTTCGAGTTTTATAAGAGAGAGTTTTAAAATAATAATAATAATAATCTAATTTAGGATAATTTTTTTTTAAAATCCTCACCCAACGACATAACTTAGAAGAAGGGAGAAAGAGAGAGTGAGAGAAACATCCATATGAGAGAGAAACTAATCAATTGCCTTCTGTACTTGCTCCAGCCACCAGGGATTGAACCTGAAACCTAGGTACAGTATGTGCTCTGACCAGGAATCAAACCAGCAACCTTTTGGTGCACAATACTGTGCTCAATCATCTGAGCCACTTTGACCAGGCAGAGAATTTTTTAAATGTACCTGAGTATGTAACCTGCTCTGCCCCTGATTCTGTAATTGGTTTTCTTATCTTTGTTTTCAAAGTGGCAAGAACTATGTTAAATCCCAACATATGAAAAGATCTTGCCATAACCGGTTTGGCTCAGTGAATAGAGCGTCGGCTTGAGGACTGAAAGGTCCCAGGTTCGATTCCGGTGAAAGGCATGTACCTTGGTTGCGAGCACATCCCCAGTGGGGGGTGTGCAGGAGGCAGCTCATCGATGTTTCTCTCTCATCGATGTTTCTGACTCTCTATCCCTTTCCCTTCCTCTCTGTAAAAAATTAATAAAATATATTTTTTGAAAAAAAAAAGGAAAGATCTTCCTTGCCCTCACCGGTTTGGCTCAGTGGATAGAGCGTCGGCCTGCAGACTGAAAGGTCCCAGGTTTGATTCCGGTCAAGGGCATGTACCTTGGTTGCAGGCACATCCCCAGTAGGAGGTGTGCAGGAGGCAGCAGCTGATGGATGTTTCTCTCCCATCGATGTTTCTAACTCTCTATTCCTCTCCCTTCCTCTCTGTAAAAAATCCTTTCATTTGCTATTGCTTAAATGTACATCAGTATATTCCACCACTGGATTACTGAGCTTGTAAACCAGAGTATATATGGCAGGTTAACCCTGGAATAAAATCACCAGTGTTCACCAAGGCCTAGAATGATTAAATTAGAAGTTTTCATTAATTCCTGGCCATTTCCTTGTTAGTAATAAAAACTTATATGACTGGGTTTTGAAATACTAATTTTATTATTATTACTTTAAAGTTCCTACAGTTCAGATTGAACTTTATAGTTTTCCCATTTTTCCATAGTCATTGTTAGATTCTTCTTTTAAAAAAAATCTTTAGGGACAACCTTAAAATGTTTCCAAATTTTCTGCTTTGAACAGCGTACTTTACTCTTTATGTTTTATGTATTTATGTATTTTCATGTTTGATCCTATTTTATGCCCCCACGCCCTGTCCTGGAAGTAACCATCATAAATAATTTCTTCATATCTTTTTTGTTGTTGTTGCTAATCCTCACCTGAGGATGTTTTCCCATTGATTTTGTTTGTTTGTTTGTTTAATATATTTTTTTTATTTATTTCAGAGAGGGAGAGAGAAACATCAATGATGAGAGAGAATCATTGATCGGCTGCCCCCTGTGTGTTCCCCCCACCCCCTCCACTGGGGAAGGAACCCAAAACCCAGAGCACGTGCCTGACCTGGAATGGAACTGTGACCTCCTGGTTTAGAGGTTGTGTTATGGGTTCACTCAGCGAGATAGACCACCGACTCAGAATTTAAATTTAAGAGCCTTTATTAAGCTGGCCAGCTGACTACAGTTACAGCACCCTGCCAAAGCAAAGGCCGAACTGCAGTGCCAACTTCCATGGTCAGCGACTATAATTACAGCACCCTGCCGAAGCAGAGGCTGAACTACAGCGATGACCACAGGAGTTACATTTTATTACTAAATTTTGTGGAGGCCCAGAGAAAATGTGTCTTTCAAATTCTGGGCCCCCCAATATGGAGGAAACTCTCTTTACTTATACTTTTTCCAGTCTTTTGTCTCCCAAATTTGGAATGAGACTTCCGGGCCTTCTGAGAAAGAAGGCCTGCATGCCGGGAAGGGGCCATGAGACCATATCTCAAGGCCTGGCCTGATGTCAGCACCTTCCTATTTATGTGTTTTAGGAACAGGCAGCACAGCATGACCCGTCTGGCCAAAGCGCCAGATATGCAGCCCAGCACAGTTGAAGCGCAACCACTTAGTCACACTAGCTGGACTCCATTGCTTTTTAAAGAGTGGAAGAGAGGGAGAGAGAGAAAGAAAGATCACTATGAGAGAGACACATCGATTCTGCCTCACGCACCTCAACCAGGACCAGGGTCTGAGATTGAACCTGCAAACCAGATATATGTCCCTGACCAGGAATCAAACCTGAAACCTCTGAGCAAAACCGCCCAGGGCTATAGATAATGTTTGCTACACCCTCCTCCCTTTTATTCTTCTCCCCCCCCCCCCTTTTATAACTGTTGGCATCAGACTGTTACATTGGTCTTCTCATTTGATAACCCATCTTCGCAATCTTTCCATAGCAGCACATAGATCTACCTCCTGTTTCACTTAGCTTCAGAGTAGTCTCTTGTACCATAGTTGGGTTAAACAGCACCTTCTGATGTTGGGCATTTAATTTTTCTATTCTTTTGTTGTTATAAGTACATATCTACAACCTTAAATCCTACCTTTGATTTCACTTAAAACGTACATTTTCCCAAATTATTGAATTTTAATATTGTCTAATTATATAAACATTGAATAGTATAAAATGAGGCGACAGGTTGTCAGAGTTTTTTATTCTTTTGGAGCAAACTTTACTTTTGACATCTTTTTACTAATTAATTATATGGATTTTTTCTAGGAAGCTGCTATGTAATAATGGGTTTTTATTTCCTTTTAGTTACTATTAGAATTATTTCAAATTGCTTCATATGTTACAAGTTACATCATGGGTTGAGTGTCAGGAGAATGTGCTCTTTGAGTTACTTTGGTAGAACATCTGTAATAATAAAAGCATAATATGCTAATTAGACTGGATGTACTTTAGATGAAGCCAGGGCTGCAAGGGAAGCCCGGGTCCTGGGTGCCAGAGAGAAGCCGGTGCCAGCAGCTGGGGGATGGAAGGCCTACTCTTGCACAAATTTCATGCATCAGGCCTCTAGTTGAGAATAATGTTTTAGCAGGGAGGCTTGAACTCTTTTAGTCTACTAAAAAATTATTTACTACACTTTTGTGTCAAGTCACAAATTGGGAAACTGGCCCTTTTCAGATGTGGAAGAGCTCATTGACTCCAAAAGTGTATCTTTTATAACTGAAAGATTTAGAGTTTATTTTTATTATATCACATTTCCAAATCTTTTCCTATCATTTTATGTGTCTAGTTTAAATG